TCTCGGGGGAAAAAAAAAAAAACACGAAAATGAGGGAGTGGGAATAATCAAAGCAATAAAGCAGGACAATTTCCCACAATTTCAGGTGTGGGAAATTGTCCTGTTTTATTGCTTTGGAATAAATGAATTTTCTGGAAATTCATTTCCAGAAAAACAATGCCTAGAAAGTGCCTACCACAATGAAAGAAAGAAAAGCCCACATAGTCATAAAATCTCGGGAATAAAAACAGGTTCCTAGGCCTGGCGCAGTGGCTCACACCTGTAATGCCAACACTTTGAGAGGCCGAGGCAAGTGGATCACTTGTGGTCAGGAGTTTGAGACCAGCCTGGCCAACATAGTGAAAGCCCATCTCTACTAAAAATGCAAAAATTAGCCAGGCATGGGGGACACCTGTAATCCCAGCTACCCGGGAGGCTGAGCCATGAGAATCACTTGAACCTGGGAGGTGCAGGTCACAGTGAGCCAAGATGGCACTATTCCTCCGCAGCCTAGGTGACAGAGCGAGACCTCATCACCCAAACGAACAAAAAAAGATAGTTTTCTAAAAGCTTCTATAGAAAAAAGTGTCTGTATGTGCACGCACATCTTGCATGTGTGCGGGGATGGTGGGGGTGATTATCTACAAAGGATCAGAACTTAAAGTAGCATTTAGACTTATACAGCATGGGCAGCCAGATGACACTGAAAGAGTGTCGTCAAATTTATAAAGGTAGCCAGGCCTGGTGGCTCATCTCATTAATCCCAGCACTTTGGAAGGCTGACGTGGGAAGATCACTTGAGTCCAAAAGTTTGAGGCCAGCCTGAGCAACATAGCAAGACCCTGTCTCTACAAAAAATTAATAAAATCAACCAGGCATGGTGGCTTGCACCTGTGGTCCCAGCTACTCAGGATGTTGAGGTGGGAGGATCGCCTGAGCCTGAGAGGTCGAGGCTGCAATGAGCTGTAATCATGTCACTGCACTCTAGCCTGGATGAAAAAGCAAGGCCAGCCGGGCACAGTGGCTCATGTCTGTAACCCCAGCACTTTGGGAGGCTGAGGTGGGCAGATCACTTGAGGTCAGGAGTTCGAGACCAGCCTGACCAACATGGAAAAACCTCATCTCTACTAAAAATACAAAAATTAGCAGGGCGTAGTGGCATGTACCTGTTTGTTATCTAAGCTACTTGGGAGGCCTGAGGCAGGAGAATCGCTTGAACCCAGGAGGTGGAGGTTGCAGTGAGCTGAGATCATGCCACTGCACTCCAGCCTGGGTGACAAAGTGAAAAAGAAAAAAAAGAAAAGCAAAGGAGGAAGGGAGAGGAAGCAAGGAAGCAAGGAAGGAAGGAAGGAGATATAAACATAGACTCTAAAAATTTACCTCCTAGGCACTCTTCCTTGGGAACCTAGTGGAGGTTACTCTAACCAAATGAAGGTGTAAACTGAAAAGAAAGACAGGGCAGCTGAGAAACAAAGGAGACAAGACTAGAGAGCAGCCAAAGAAGCCCCAGGATAACAGCCATGCAGAAGACAGGCTGAGCCTAAGATGGCAGACTCCAGGAAAAAAGGTCTTCAGGAAAAAACTTGAACGCAAGCTTTTGAGCTCAAGGAAAATATTGATGAATATCTGACAGAGCATATAAAGCATTTGGAAAGAAATTAGCGACCAGGCACAATGGCTCACGCCTGTAATCCCAGCACTTTGGGATGCCGAGGTGGGTGAATCACCTGAGGTCAGGAGTTCCCAATCAGCCTGGTCAACATGGTGAAATCCTATCTCTACTAAAATTACAAACATCAGCCAGGCATGGTGGCAGGCCCCTGTAATCCCAGCTACTTGGGAGGCTGAGGCAGGAGAACTGATTGAACCCGGGAGGCAAAGATTGCAGTGAGCCAAGACCATGCCATTGTAATCCAGTCTGGTCTACAAGAGCAAAAAAAAAAGAAAAAGAAATTAACAATTGGCTTACAGAAAACAAAGCAAATGGAAAAATGAGGTAATTATTCATGCCAATAAAAACAAAAAGATGTAAAATACATTATACTATTAATATATAGGCCTATTCAACTATAAAAAATGAAGTATACTATTACGTAAAAAAAAAAATCAAGGTACAGAACAATGTATATAGTAAGCTACCTTTTAACTATGAAAGGGGAGAAGATATGAATATCTACTTACATTTTTTTTTTTGAGACATGGTCTTGCTCTGTCACCTAGGCTGGAGTGCAATGGTGTGATCTCAGCTCACTGCAACCTCCACCTTCTGGGTTCAAGTGATTCTCATACCTCAGCCTCCTGAGTAGCTAGGACTACAGGCGTGCACCACCAAGCAAGTCTAATTTTTATACTTTTAGTGGAGATGGGGTTTAGCCATGTTGGCCAGGATGGTCTCGAGCTCCTGATCTCAAGTGATCCACCCGTCTCAGCCTCCCAAAGTGGTGGGATTACAGGCATGAGCCACCAAACCCAGCCTACATATTCTTAAATCAGCAAAAACAATAAAAATTGCTACCCATGAGAGGGAGGGAACTGGGTAGAAGGGTCAGAGGTAAAAGCTAGACTTCTCTGAATATACCTTTATTTTGTAGACATGATTTTGGAACCATGTAAATATTTTTTTTTTTTTTTT